ACACACACACACACACACACACACACACACACACACACACACCCCACCCCCCAGACTGGCTGCCACCACGCTGCTGCCGGCTCAGAGAGGTGCCATGGGGCTGCCTGGCTTCCAGACTGCCATTCTTTATGGAAGTAGAGAGCCTCGCCTTTGTCCTGTGGAGTGGCCGATGGTTTAGAACTGGCGAGCCCGACGGGTCACCACCACACGGAAACCGCACAGTATGGTGCAGAGGTGAGGGGCCACCGTCGCTACGATGGGTTGACAAATACCCAACAGCAGGGGTTCTACTCCTGCAAACAGTTACAGCCTCAGACACTCCCAAGGGCCGGCCGGGCCGCCATGAGTCAGCATCGCCTTGATAGCAGTGAGGCTGATTTGGGGTGTGGTGTTTTCATTCATCGCGCACTGACCGCCCGGGCCTCATGCAATGCAGTGAGCCCCTGAAGCGACTGCGGTGTCACAAGTTGTCACCGCCGGCAGAGAAGGCGCGGAAGACCAGGGTGATGAGGCACAGCTACTAAGTGGCGGAAGCAGGGTTCGACCCTGAGCGGTCCCCCTGACCTCAGCATCGCACCTCCCTCTACTACGCTGTGTGGGGTGCAGCCTTACCCAGCCTCCTGGCCAGGCCGAAGTCGATGAGCTTGATGCTGGTGCCCGTCTTGTTGACACACATGATGTTCTCGGGTTTGAGGTCCAGGTGGACGATGCCCTGCCGGTGGATGTACTGCACCCCCTCTGAGATCTGCTTCATGTACTTGATGCACTCGCGCTCCGTCAGCTCGAAGTCCTCGTCAATGATGCGCTCAAACAGCTCACCCCCCGACACCCTGCGGGCCAGAAGAGAGGAGTGTGGGAAGCGGTCAGACCAGAGTCCTGGGGGCTGGGCTGGAAGCCCAGGGGATGCGAGTGGCAGGCCCACTGCAGCTTCACAAGTTCATGGGCAGGGACTCCCAGGTTGGTTCCCGTCTTTCTTCATGGGAGGAGGGCCAGGCCCAGGCAGCAGGGAAGCACCTATGCCGGGGTCATTTCAGAGATGGGCCTGGACTAGGACGTCCGGTAGGAGATCCAGGGAGGCTCTTTCCCCTCGATCTCATAGGCACATATGGGAATATTCTTATCCTTCCACTTGTGGTTTAGCTTCAGCCATCTGAAGCCGAACATGCTCACAGTACTCGTGAGCATTTAATCTGCATACCCAGGAAGAGAACTGTTAGGAGACCTCAAGACATTTTCTAAACATGAGTTATCTATAACCCACCCTACCTCCACTATCCACCTGTGTCGGTTTGCTGTGTTGCCACGACGTGTGTGTTGCTGTGATGCTGGAAGCCATCTGCCCAATGTTTCAAATACCAGCAGGGTTACTCACGGGGACAGGTTTCAGGGCAGCTTCCAGACTCAGAAAGAACAGGAAGAAAGGCCTGGCTGCCTTCACCCAATGCTAGGGAATGGGGTAAGGAGGCACTCAATGGGTCACAGCAGGACACTGTCCAGCACAGTGCCGCCAGAAGAGAGCCTGCTGGCATGGAAGGCACTGGAACACACAGTGGATTTCAGCACACCGACAGTGGGGTGGGCACGGTCCGAGCCATGTTTAGCTCTTGGAGGCAACTCGACAGTCCGGTAGCGACAGATCTGTTTGCCATCAGGGTAGGCCTAATGGCAGAGTCTTCCAAACATACCTGGCCCACTGCCTCCTTCTCAGAAAAACAATTACTCAGAGCCTCCCTGGCAATGAAAAACTTTAGCACGTAGCCAATCATCCCGGGCAAAGTGCAGATAATCTGCACTTTTGCAGCCCCACTGGATTGTGCCAGCGCCCCCTGGAGGTGGTGTTGGGGAGTATCACCCACTTTGGGAAACCCTGATCTATAGCAGTTTACTCCTTTCAGCTGTAGCTCCCTCATCTCCGCTCCACCCCTTTCCAGTCGACACCCCAGGAGTCGTCATCAAGGAAGCTAGCTCGTATGTCCCAAGTGTGCGGCCAATCCTTCCTACCCGAATGGACTGTGGAGCCTGGTCAGGTCCAGTCAGCCCTGCTCTGCCAAGGGCTAGTCCAGGGGCTCCGGCCTACCGGCCGGCATCCAACCTTTACTACATGAGTCCTCCCCACTCTGGCTCCAGCTTTCCACCCACCTTCACTGCTCCCTGCTTGAAGCATTTAACTTTTGGGGCATCCAGACAGCCGTAGGCTCATTTTTCTGCAGCAGTCTGTAGACACCGCCCCCCCCCACCCCCGCCCCATGGTCAAGGCTGAGGGGCTTTGTTCTCCCCATAGCCTCCGACCAGGCCCTCCTCTGCCTTTTGAAGGGTCACCTGGTAAAGAGGAGAGTGCTGAGTTTGAATCTGCTTCTGCCTCTTACAGACTCGCTGCCACCCTACAGGACAGTGTGGAACTGCCGTGTGTGTGAGTGTGTGTGTGTGTGTGTTCTGAGACCGTAACACTTCATGGAGAAGGCCTCATCTTTCTTCCGTGAGCGACTGGTGGTTTCAAACTGCTGACCTTGAAGTTGGCAGCCCAAAGGAACATAGGCAGAGCATCACAGGGCTCCACATGTGTTAAGTAGCCTTTAACAACCTATGGTCAGGTGGGACAAGTGGGTCCCTGAGGGGGACAAGGGGAGAGGGGCAGGGAGCAGTAGGGGGCTGGGCACACTGTAGCCCCTCTCTGCCTTCATCACTGCCTCCCGCACACCTGAGTCGGAAAGGCCTCCCATGCCAAGGACAGCTGGGAATGCTGGGACGGACTTTTAAACCAACACAAGATGTCCCTGGCTGCTCAGCAGGTGGCGCTCTTGTCCCCTCCAAGCCCTGCATGTCTGTCTATTGTTGGCTACCAAGGTTCAAAGTCCAACACTCTATAATCTCTATTCTAGGTCTCCGCTGACTCTTCACATCAATTTCCTCATCTGTAAAGTGTGGAAAAAAACAGCAATGGGTTGCGATAAAGGTGGATGCTATAAAGATTAATGCAAGTAAAGATTAATGCAAGTAAAGTTTAGAACCCTGGCCATATCACAGGGGTTCTAGGATGCTAGTGATTGATTTGTTTGTTAAATGAAGACACACTTGGGCTCTCATTGAAATGCAGATTCACAAGCTCCCAGTCTTGAGAGGAACCAACATTTTCATTCGGCATCCCTGCTTATACCCCAGGTCATTCGTTTATGTTATGTTTGGGACATACGAACTAGCTTCCGTGGGGACCACTCCTGGGATGCCTGCTGGAAGTTCACGATCCTGCAGACACCACTCCTGATTTCCCCACAGGGAAGAGTCTTTCCCTGGGAAAGTGTCACTGCCCTCTCTGAATCCGGTCAGCTGGTTTAAAAACAATTTGAGCACGTGTCTAAGCCAGGGTCCACCTCAGCCCTGGGTCCTTACTAATGTCAAACCAGTGACTCCAATCCCAGGTGACCCCAAACAGGCAGGGTAGGACCATGCCACGGCTGTCAGCCAGTCAGCCACTTTTGGGAAACAGATCACCAGGCCTTTCTTCTGAGGCACCACCAGGTGGGTACGACCTGCCAAGCTTTTCCTTACCAGCCAGGCACTGCACTGTCTATGCCATGCAGGGTGCCTCTGGACCCTTAACTGAAAATAGGCAGCCTCTGGCACAGACGGGGTGGCTCCAGCATTTGCTTTTGAGCTTATGTCATTCTGAAAAGTCAAGTCACCCTCTTCCATAGGGCCTCAAGAACATGTGAGGCGGGAGAGTTGGGGGGCTGAGGCTTGGGGACGCTTGCTGAGGCATTTCTAGAGAGAGCCTTGACCACGGAGGCTCCAGACTCTTCAAATGTATTTAACACGGTGATGAATTCTGTTTTGAAAGCCATTCCTGTGGCCTCCTTCCTAGGATGGAAGGAGTTACATGGAGAGGATTAGTGGCTCAGTAGATCGCTCTGCAGAATGCTCAGGACAATGGCTGGGAAGCACTGCTTTGACGGAAAGATGCCTCTGCCCACAGAGACGGGTTAACACTGAGTGTCCGAGTGAAGGGGTGAAGTGCAGGCTGGCGTCGGGGTAATGATGGGACTGCCACATGCAGGGTAGGCAGCTCAAAACCACCAGCTGTTGCTCGGGAGGAGGACCGGGCTTTCTACTCCTGCAACAGTGGCCGTCTTGGTAATTCACCCAGGCAGTTAGTCCTCCTCGGTCCCTTGAGTCGGCATCGACTTGATGGCAAGGAGTTCGGTTTTGTTGTTGTTGTTCAAGTGATGAACACCTGTTACCACCAAGGCTGTCTAATTCCAAGGGATCGGACTGATCCTAAAAGCGCTGGACCAGGCCAGGCTTCACCATCTTCCCATCCTGCCTTAAGGCAGGCACCCAGTGGGAGCCCCTTGGCAGCAGAGCAACACAGGTGCCAGAGCCTGAACACAGCTCCTCGTTGGTGCTCAGGTTTCAGCACGGCATGGAAGGTCCCAAGAACTCCCCCAAGGGCAAGCTCCGGCTCCGATCAGAAGCCCTGTAGTATCAATGGGGCAGGGCTAGCAGCCAGAGGCGGGAAAGGCGGAAGACGTTTCATTCTCCTTTATCACGCTCTCTGAGGCAGCTGAACCGAGGACAGGGACCCTGAGACACATCGTTTTTGCTGTTCACTATCACCAGCCCCCATGCTTCCCTTCATCTCCACTTCTCCATCCCACAAAGACCAGGGCAAACGGTCCTGTTGACCATCCATCTTGCCCCTCTGTTTCTGCGGGAAGGGCGGGATGCCCAGAGCCTGGGCCTGCCCCCCTTGTTGCTAGTTGAACTCCCTTCAGGTCAAGCTTCTCACCCCATTTGCAGCCCGCTCCTCTGGCATCCCCGGGTAAGGACTCACTCCTGGCAGGGGGAGGCCTGGGGGTGGGGGGTAGGAAGGGATGAATGCCAGGCCATTTGAAGCTGGCTTCCTACATTTTCCATCCTGTTTGCCAAGTCCCAATTCCAAGCTAAGTATGGTATTCTGCCCACTGCTGCGGCTGCCTGGCTGTAGCCAGGCTGGGCCACCCCAGCCCCACCCTGTCGCTCCCTCACAGTTGCTCAAGGTTGGGTTTTTTTCCTAAAGATAAGGCATCTCTTCACTTGTCCTCACAAGCCCGCAGTGCCTGGACTCCGCACGCACTTCTGGAATAAATGTGGCACGCTGTGGCCCACTGGAGCATGGTGGGGGGTGGAGGGGCACGACTGGGGAGGTGGTGGGCTGGGCTGGGCTGAGGGGCTCCTGGAAGTGCAAAGGCACGTAGATGCAGGGCTGACAACACAGTCTGAGGGGCAAGGATGTGCTCAAAGTCTCTCGTGGTTCCCCAGAACTGCACAGTTTCAGAACGAGAAAAGAGTCCCAGGGTTGATTATTCTAACGCCAGCCCTGTCTCCTCTCAGTGGTAGAATGTAACAAAGGCGAAACCACACTCCGCACTGGGGCAGCTAGAGCCAGGCTTTCTGTTCACCAGCTAAGACTTGTTCTACACCACTTCCGATGGCAAAACATTCCCGGCCAGAAAAATGCTCACAAGGCAGTTCATGTGACAAAAAGACACAGAGACTCCCAAACTCACTGTCCTCGGGGCAATTCCAACTCATAGCGACCCTACAGGACTGGGTAGAACTGTCCCTGTGGCTTTCTGAGACTGTCGCTCTCTACGGAGTAGAAAGCCTCCTCTTTCTCCCTCAGAGTGGCTGGTGGTTTCGAACTGCTGACTTCACGGCTAGCAGCCCAACCCAGAACCCACCAGACCACCCGTTATCACTGCCTCGTGCTCTTGTGGTTCCTCCAACAGTGCTCTCTCCATGTGCACAACAAAACCAATGACGGGTCCAGGTCCCAGACCAAGTGAGAGGCTGCGCTGGGGTTTGAGGTGAGAGGTAGCTGACTCAAGCCTGCGATCTTAGCTTGTGGGGCCACGCTGATCTGCTCTGGCGGCCAGGGGAGAGGGAGGGCTCCACTCCTGCTCCGGGTGGTCTTCCCAGCCTCCCGCCTCCCCCAGGGCCGAGGCTCATGCGCAGCTGCTCCCGGATGCAGTTTCACAACATCCCTGCAAACTCCCCGGGCGCACAAAGCCAGGGCGTGGGCTCCGGGCACAAGGCGACTGTCGCTGTGATGTATCCATCCGCAGAAAAGACTGCGCGCTGCCAGGGGCCTGTTGCCCAGCACGCTGCCGAAGAGCATGCAACCCCCTCCATGCTCAAAGCATGTAATGAGACCCTTAACGTTGGCTGTCTGGAGGGAGGTCAGGACAGGGGGCTGCGGTGAGGTGAACTCTTCACTGCGCGCTTTCTTATTAGTCTCAATATGATCGGATCTACTTTTTTTTTTAAGATGAAAAAGGAAAGAAACATCTAATATATGTATATGTATAATCACCCCACTGGGGAGTCTGCTTGGTATAGAGATGCCAGGTTGTGTGCGCGTGTGGGAGCGTGCCAGCGCCCCCGTGGTGGGGGCTGGAAGGTAGAAGAAGCAGTGGACTCTGGGAAAGCCCAGCTGGAGGTCCTCTGGCCTGTGCATCGGACAGAGAGGCACTGCTCTTGTGGAGTGAGGGACTGCAGGGTTCAAACCAGGATGGGGAGGGTGGGGACTGGCAGGGGCTGGCCACCAGGCTCTCGGGGCTCCTGTCCTGCACCCCTCTCCTGCTACAGAGCCACAGGGAAGCTACGCTGCATCTCCCCACAGAGAAGCTACCGGTTCTCACTGAGTCTGTTCTGACTCATAGTGGAGACCCTGTAGGACCGGGTAGAACTGCCCGGTGAGTTTCTGAGACTGACATTCTTTACAACAGTAGAAAGCCTCTTTCTCCTGCGGAGCAGGTGGCGGGTTTGAACCGCTGACCTTGCAGTTAGCAGCCCAGTGAGTAACCCACTGTGCCACCAGGGCTCCCCAAAGCCACTAGAGAGCCCCTTCCTGGAACCCAAGAGGTCCAGGGACCGCCTGGGGAGTTCTAGCCTTTCCTGGGGAGCAGAGTGTGAAAAGGCGTGCCGGGCCTTCCACTCCAATTGCTCTGGCACGGCACAGGGGCGGCGGGCAGGGCCACTCACATCTCCAGGACCATGACGATGTTGGCCTTCTCTTCGAAGGCATCCACGCACTGGACCAGCTTGGGGTGGTGCAGGCAGTTCATGATGCTGATTTCCTGCCGGATGCTCTCCTTCTCTTTGGCGGAGTACGCCTTGAAGAATTTCCCAGCCCAGGTTTTTTTGGTCTTCTTTTCCACAAGCCGGAACACTTGCCCAAATTTCCCCCTAGACGGAGGGGAAAGAGAAGAGCCAGGTGAACCAAGCTTCCTGCCCCTCTTAGTAAATACAGTTTTACTGTGACACAGCCACGCCCGTTTGTTCGTGTACTGTTCACAGCAGCAGATTAAGTACATGTGACATAAACCACAGGGCCCACAAAACCCACGGCCACTGAACCAATTCCGACTCACAGTGACCCTGTGGGACAGGGTAGAACTGCCCCTGTGGGTTTCTCCTTTACAGGACTAGAAAGCCTCATCTTTCCCTTGCAGGGCAGCTGGTGGTTTTGAACTGCTGACCTTGCAGTTAGCAGCCCAATGTCTAACCACTAAGCCACCAGGGCTCCTGCTAAATCACGAAGCCACTGGGAATGAAAGCCCGTCTCTTCCACCTCTGCACTCCTGCAGGGAGAGAGACTGGAGGTGTGGGGGCCACCTGAGGGGACAGCTTGGCTGTGACGAGGGCTCAGGCATGGGGGCCAGGGTCTGTTGGTATCCCCCACTCCCCAGGGAGGAGCTCAAGGACACCGGAGAGACCAAGCTCATTCAGGGAACCATGATGACCAGGCCGAATGGGCGTGAAGCGCTGAATACAGCCACGTGCCCTGGCCAGATCCGGCCATCTCCTGCATCCCGGGGTGGGGGTGGGGTAAAGACCATCGGATGTAGATCCAGACCTCTCATTTCAATCGACGTGGAGAACTGAGGCACAGGTCAGGGAGGGGCAGCCTAGGGCTGAGCAGGGCTCCTGGGGCCCACCCTTTCTGATGCCACAGGGGTGGGGGCACGATACCAACTTCACTGGGGGAGGGGCCCCACCCCTCTGGAAGCAGCTGCCCAGTGCACTTACGATCCTAGTCTCTCCTCAATGTCGTAGAAGTCAGCCAATTTCTGCTCTGTGTTGACCGCCACTGTCCGGTAATCCACCACGGGCTCCTTCTCCTCTGCGGGGTGGGGGCTGGGGTGAGCGAGAGCCCCCTGACACCCTGGCTCAGCCTCCTCCACCCCACGAGCCCAGCCAGAGAACCAGCCCTCACTCACCATCATCAGACACCTCCACTTCGTCCTTTGGCTCTGGGGGGGAGACAAGAGAGGGACGGGGGTGGGGTGGGGGGGTACAGGTGAGCAGTCCTGAAGGCAGCTGGGTGAGCAGCCATGCTGGGCACCAGGCCAGCTCTCCCCTGCCTTCCAGGCACAAGACCACTGAGCCCCTGGGTGTCCAGTCAGGTCTCAGTCACCCAGGGCCAGGTGCCGGCTGGCAGGCACTGGGCTCCTCACCTCCCCCATCACCACTCCTCTGTCCTAGGCCTTCCTCCCCAACCTCGAGGTCCCCACCAGAGACCCCGCTTCATGCCTCCGCCCAAGCCTCTGCCTCCCGGAACCCCTGTACCACCGTAGCAGGCCTGTCCCGCCTTTGCCCGGGTGCCAGCCACTCACAGCAGCTCGATCACTTTCTGTGTCTGTTACATGTTGTCTACGGCACTTCTGCGGGGCGTCTACTCTCTGCCCAGGCAGTGTGGGCACACCAACGGTGCAGAAAGCATGGCCGCCCTTTCCTGCTGGGGCTTATCATCTAATTGGAGGGTAAAACTGGATCTACTTGAGAGATCAATTACAAGGTGCTTTATAGCCAGCATGTGATACCGCAGTATAAATTGCAGACTCCACAACTGTTGGCGTCTGAGACAAGGATTCCGAGGAGTTGTCCACGAGTGGGTGCTGAGAGGAAATGACGGAGCGAATGAGAAGGTGGGGGAAGCCGTTCCGCAAAGCCAACCCATGTTTCTGAAGTGGGGCTGAAGGAGGGGCCTAGCTGCAGGCGCTCCCCTCCTGGGGTGGTCTCAGGAATACACAGGGTGGGCTAAGGAGGGGGGAGCAGTTGCCAATGGGATGTCCCTTGGAACGCATCTACTTCATTACCCCAAGCTTTCCTTTCCACCCACAATGCCATTGGGTCCTGGACCGCACAGCCTTGGGGACAAGCCCGCCCCTCCTGGGGCCCCAGTTTCCTCATCTGTAACAGGAAGGAGTTGTCCTAGAGCCCCGGGTAGCTCTCCATGCAGGCTTCTGCAGGGTGCCCTGCGCTCCTCAGGCCAGACGTGGGCTGTGTCCTAGGGAAGGCAGCAAGGCTTCCCGAGCAGACAGGGCAGAGCCTCAACAGCAAACGCAGAGGGAGTAACGGGGCTTTGGGAACGTGTGTGGAAGACTTGGGGAAGGACCGAGTTGCTGAAGTGCAGGAGAACAAGACTGAAAAACAGAAGCCTCTCCTCTGACAGGAGTGTGGATGAAGCTCGCACATAAGGCCGGGGATGGGTCCTGGGAACATGCCATCACCCTTCCTTGGGTGTGATAAGCCCTAAGGTGTCTGCTTAAAACCCAAGAGAGAGAGTCCCTTCAGCGGAAGCTTCTTAGACTCGCAGAATCTCAGAGTAAAGGAGCGGAAGTGCCTTCTCTTCCGGCCTCTTTGGTCTCGGCCACAGAAGTGAGAGGACGAAGGGACGGCATCCTTCGGAAAGCGTGGCAGTCAGACGCACACCTGTGCCGCCGCCGCCGCGGCTCCAAGGGCTGCCATCTACAGAAGCCAGCCTGTGGCAAATGTGGCTCCTGCCCCGCGCAAGAGAACGGATGTCTGGAGTGCCCAGGCTAACAGAGGAAATACCACCGGTACTAGTCGAATGAGACACCTAGAAATGATGGATTCTGGGAAGGAAACCCAGAGGGCAACTCTTGCAGGGTCCAGTGCATCTTAAGGATTCAACATTTAGTTGTGCAATAAATGTTTTCGTATTTAAAAAAGAAAGAAAGAAAGAAAAACAAAAAGCAAAACCCCAAGAGAGAGACTGGAGACACGTCTCTCAACCCACTGCTCTGATCAATAGAATGCTGCTTTTGGGGACGGTGGGCACTGGCTGCACAGGTGTGCTGCTACTCTGCCCTTGATGGAGTCCTGGACCACCTGCTGGGGAGCTCTGGCTGCTGCTGGGGGAGGCATGGAGGACCACTGCCAGGTTACAGGAGGCAGTTGAAAGAAGGTTAGGCATCTCTGTTTGGGAAAGACGTCTAAAGCAAACGTGATCCCGATCTATTGCCCAGGAGTGGATTCCAATGCACAGGGAGCCCACAGGGCAGAGCAGAACTCCCTCCCATGGGCTTGCCATGGGGTGGGCTCTGTGGAAGCAGACTGCCACCTCTCCCTCCCACAGAGCCACCCTGGTGGGCTGGAACCACCGGCCTTTCAGTCAGCAGACACAGCGCATCGCTATGGCGCCCCCAGGACTCCATAAAGCAAACACGATAAAAAATGAACCTAACCGATTGACCAGGGTGAGACATGGGAAACAGAGTTTTCATCGGCCCAGGGATGCCCTCGTGTGGGGACTATCGAGATTTCCCTTACACAGAGGGTGGCTGTCAGCAGGTGGGACTCGCCTATCAAGGGGCAGCGTGCGTGCGGGGAACAAGAAAGGCTGACAGCTGTTTAGATTCATTCAAGGACAACCGCTCAAGCAGTGTGTTGAGAGAAACAAGAGAGGCACAGCAACTCAACAGTCACCATCTGAGCCCTGGCGGCTGCAGGCCATCAGCCTCAGGACTCCCAGGGAGGCCCATTGTCCTGATGTGAAAGCAGAGCCTTGGCTTTGTTCCCTGCTGAACGAGAGAACGGAAATGTCTGAGGAGCAGGTGAGAGAGAATGGAGAAGACAAGCTTCTTTGGGCCTGTGTCTCCAGCAGGGGCCGCTATCCTTTGCCAGGGAAGGAGGAGCAGTGTGGAGAGCCCCAGGAAATGCTTTCCGACACCCAGGGGCGCTTTCCAGCCAGCCCTGAGGGAAGGCACCCAGTGCCAAAGCAGGCCCATCACCGACCCCATTCCACTACTGCAAGTTGGCTTTCTCGCCCCACGCACTGATGCTGCACTTACTCAACCTAGTGGGGTGGCCAGACGTAGACTGGCCACCTCCTGCCCTTCCACAAGACACACAGCCTCATCCTGCCCCCTTGGTTCTGAGAACCAGGTCCCCCGTAGGGAATTCAACTGCCTTTCCAGCTGGCTGCGACCGACACACTCCCTAGACACTCTGAGCACGACTCCGTGCTGAAACATTTCTCTGTTGGCTCTTCTTGGTGTCCTGCCTGTCACTCTGCTTGAAGAAGGTGACGCCGCCGGCAAGAGGGAACAGGGGAAAGGCCGCACTTCAGTTAGCCGGCTCTGGAACCAGCATGAGGGCAGATCCCCAGCTTTGCCCTGAGCATCGTCAACATCACTATAGGAGGCTCAACCCAACAGTTTCAAAAATCGACTCCCAAAGAGCTGTAAAGGCCCAAGAGCCAGGTGGAGGAAGAGCTGCTCGGGAGACTGCTCTGAGCTCTTCGTGAAGCAGATGAGAGCATGTTTGCCCAAAGACCACTTGAGACCTTGGGACTCTGGTCCGGGGAACTGCCCCTCTCCACAGTGAGGGCTGCTGCACTCCAGGTGGACACCAGAGGGCGCCCCGGCACCAGAGACAGCCTTCGAGAGGCCAGGCCTTGGTGATAAGGGCTCTACAGATAGAAGAAATTAGGGTCAGGAGCTAGAATGGAGGGGATTGAAAGTCTGAGCAGGCTCAGGGTGGGCATGGGGCTGAGGCTCATGCGCAGGGCCCAGCTCAGTGGAGGGAGGAGCATGGCCTCAGCACGTTGTCTGCTGCGGCTTTGGCAAGCCTGGGAGGGAGCTAAGTGATGGGCAGCCAGGTTGGTCTTAGGGGGAAGCCTGTGCCTTGCAATCCACTCTATGCGACCCCAGCGCCCACCGCAGCCCCTGGAACCCAGAAGGGGCTGGAAATTCACTGGGCGGGTCTAGGCAGGACGGAGGGGCCACTGGTGTGTGGGGACAAAGGAGATGTCCGGGTGCACAGGATACGGAAGTTGCAGAGGCAAAAAGAACTGGGAGAGGCAGTGGGGGTGAAAGGTGGAGTAAGGGTCCATTGACACTGCCCTTTCAGGGACCCTTAGACCCTGTTGGCTATACTCCTACCTGATGCTTCTTCTCTGTCCTCCCTCTCCCACCTCCCCACCTCTCCTCTCCCAGACCCTGCCTTTGGAGGGCCCAGCGATGGCCCGCCCAGGCACATATGGACAATTGCATGCACTGTTGGCTTTCTGCTTGGACTCGGACTTAGACAAGCACTGCCATTTGCCCCTCAGGGCTAATGCCGGCCTGCTATTACCCAATGGGGTCCCAGGGTGGGCAGCAGCCTCTCGACTGAAAGCCCTGGGTGGCCTGGCCCCCTCTTCTGGTTTGTCCCTGTCTGCCCCCAGCAGGCGAGGGGGCCCGGGAGGGAAACCGAGTGCAGGGCCAAGGAAGGCCAGCTGGCTGCAGGGAAGTGGGCCCTGACTCCTCCTCCCATCAGGCTCTCTCGGAGCTGCCGGGCCTCCCGGGAGCCAGATCCCCACCTGAGGCTGGGCCTCCTGCACCCACCAAGGGTTCCAGAATCTCTCTGGTGTACCTGGCCTCCCACCACTGCAAGGTGACATATCCCTCTCCCTGTCAGTGTTTCCAACAGTGGGGAGTCCTCTTGCTGAACAAAGGAATAGCCTACAAAGCAGCTGCCCCTCCTCAGACTTCTTAAACTTTGTCCACTTGAGACCGCCCCCCTTTCCTCACAAGAAATTTGCAACAGGGGGCTGCGCACCCAGAAACCTTTTACTGTTGCAAATTTTTCGTGGCCCCCAAGTTCAGACACTCGACCCCATACAGGGTCAAGACCCATCACTTCAGCTTTGCTAACCTGCCCGGGGGCCCGAGAGGTGCTGGGTGGAGGTGGAGGTGGGGGTGGGGGTGGGGGTGGGGGGATTTCCCAGGGCATTGAACTTTGTCACTGCTGTCCCGCAGCTGGCATGTTTGGGCAGCCCCAGCCTATCCTGGGAGCCGGGTGGGGGCCACACCTCGGGGCCCTAGCACTCTGGGGGCTGGGGGGTTGGGGAGGCTGCTCACCGTGGGGGTTTACGGTTCCACTCAGGCAAACGTTGGTTTTGCACTGAGATGCCTCCTACCTTTCCAGAGCCCTCGTTTCATTCGAACGCCCCATTCATGTCCATCCCTACATTGTCAAATTCTCCTCACAGTTTCATACGCAGGATGCCTCTGGTTTCAGGGGGATCTCGGACCAGCTTCTTCCATCAAAGGAGCCTCCTGGTTTGGAGGGTTACCCCAGGGTGGGGCCGCTAACCACAGGGACACGAATTCAAACAACCCACCAGCGGCTCCTCTGGAAACAGACGAGGCTTTCTGCCCCCGTGGAGACTGCGAACCTGGAAACCTACAGGGCAGTGCTACTCTGGCCGACAGGTTTGCTGGACGTTGGGACGCACCCATGGCTTTGGTCTGCTTGCTCCTCTAGCCCTCTTTTCTCCCACCTTAAGTTCACAGCACCCCTGTTCTTCTCGACCTTCTCCCGCTTAGCCCTTAACCCTGGCAACCACTTTTCCACCCTGCAGAAACCCTGGAGACGTGGCTGTGAAAAGTCATGACCAACCTAAGGGGCCGAATGCAAAGACCTCTCCAGAGTCCTCCCCTCCTCCTCCGTAGAGCATGGCTCACGGAGAACCTCTGCAAGCCAGTGCCCTCCTTTCTGCACCGCACCGCAGCCTCCTCACGGCTGTCTCCCCTCGTAGCCCGCACTCAGGGCTCACAGGCGCCTTCCTGACAGCCCGGGTGCTCGTGGGGCAGTAAGGGCGCATGGCCCTTCTAGCCAAAGCCTCTGTGACTCCTGGAAAGGGACAGGCTGGGACTCTGCAAACAAGGTACCCATCTGTGGCCCACGGAGCGGACTGGCCAACCTGTGAAGAAATCAGTGAGGGGGTTGATGGGTTTTGCCATCCCGTTGGTCTGTCTTGGAAGAAGTATGGCCAGAGTGCTCCTTAGAGGCAAGAATGGCAAGACTTCATCTTGCTGACTTTGGACATGTTGTCAGAAAGACCAATCCCAGAAGGGCATCCTGCTGGGTCAAGTGGAGGGAAGGCCCCATGGTCACGTGACCCCATGGCTGCAACAATGGGCAGGAGCACAGGAACAACTGTGAGGAGGGCGCAGGACCGGGCAGCGTGCCCTTCTGTGGTGCACGGGGTCGTTGTGGGTCGGAGCCGACCAGAAGGCACGTAAACGCAACAATAACTGATCTGCCAAGAGCGTTGATCCCAGAGACGAGGGGGAAACCTCATTACCGCCAAGAAAGAGACAGGAGTGGTGCCTAGCCTCTGGACCTGGGGTCTCGGTACTAAGGACCCCCCACACCCAGGAGCCAGAGAAAGCGGTAACACTGGAGACTTTGCAAGATGGTGAAGTGCTAGCAAACGCTGCAGTGCAAGGAAGGCCAGGGTGAGACAGCATGGTGCACAGCAACCACTTGGGAGCGGGGCACGGCAGCATGGAGCTTCAGAGGGGGCTGGGGGCCCACAGCTGGGTCCTTTCCAACAACCTCCCAGAGGAGGCCAAGGCTGAGGGCATATGAGACGATGTTCAGAGCAATCTCCACAATTCCCCACTCTCTTGCTCAAAGCGGGTTTAATCCTATTAATGCCTTGATCTTTGAGGAACCCCTCGGGCGGGCGTCAGCTGCATGCTGAGCTGCTAACCACAGGCGACTGACCCAAGCCCAGCAGCCACTCCCTGGGAAGACAATGAGAGGCTTTCTACTCCTATAGAGGCGGACAGTGTCAGGAACCTGCAGGGGCAGTTCTACTCTGTCCTGTACGGTCAGCATCCAGTCGATGGCGCTGAGTGAGAGGTCTTTGATGAACTTCACGGTTTTACCTAGCCTACGGCTGGCCACACACAAGATTCTCCCACGGCCCTGTGTTCCCATAGCTTTGTGCCTTTGCTCTGGCCACGTCCTGTGTGCGAGAAGGCCCGTCCTCATTTTCTCCACCTCCTGAAATCCTACTCCTTTTCCAAAGCTCAATGTAAGCACCACCTCTCCTGGGGTGTCTACCTGACTCTCTAGGGTCAAGTGGTCCCTGCTTTCTGCTGTGCCTCCCTCCGCTCTTCCTTTATATCACTGTCACAGGTGTAGCCTCCCTCCTGTTACCGTCAGTGGTACACACATCTCTCCCGATGCAGACGTTAAGCTCCTTGCCTTCTCTGTCACCTCTGCGTCTCAGGTACTCGGCACTCAAGTACGAAAGCAAGAGGAGGTGGAGGGGAGAAGGGAACCTGAGGTCTACCTGAGCGCCTGTCACCCAGGATGGGAAACAGCATCACCACCTGGTGGCAGCGTACCCAAACAGCAGGCTCAAAGACTTCAGAAAGACCATCCGGACCGCTTTTAAAGTCTACCTGGGCATCACAACTTTGGAAATTAACCCCCCAAGACCTTGCCTGGTGGTCACTGTTGGTGTCCTCTCAGTTTCCCAGTCTCCCTCTCGGACAAAACGGACACCACGCACACTGCAAGCCGGCGATGCCAGGAAGGCAGCCTACCCTCGGGTTTCTCTCCCACCGCGGTGAGGTCCGACTCCTGGCTTGGCTCACTGGTCCCATACACGTTGATGGCCCGCACTCGGAATTTGTACTCGCGGTCAGGCAGCAGGTCCTGGACGCCGAAAGAGGTGCTACGGCACGTGGCCAGCTCCTTCCACGTCGTGTCCACGGAGTCCCAGATCTCCACGCTGTAGGACTGGACAGCACTGCCCCCGTCGTACGAGGAGCCATACCAGGACAGGGTCAGCGAGGAGCTGCGGATGTCGGAGGCACAGGGGGTGCCGGCCGGGGGGTCTGGCTTATCTGTGGGCAGAGAGGCACAACATCACCCTGGCACATTGGAAAATGGACGGAGGAAAGGTTTTGAAGTCGCCATTGTCTGCTGTGGGGGAGCAGCATCCACACCCCCAGCCCTGGCTTTCCTTCCCTACCACACACCACAAACAGTCACACCTGTGCAAAAACCACCTCTACAGAGGGCCCCAGCTGGCTTGCTGTGCTCAAAGAGCTTTGCATTTCTTTTTCTTGGCTGATCTTCCAGTCTACAAAGCACAATTTCCTGTACTTTTCCAAGTCATAAACATATTTCTTGGAGCAAACAGCTTTAGGAAGCTACCCAGAAGGCGTGGGCTGTTTTCCATCACAACTATGTTTTGAATGCAAGCGGTTCAGCTTGTGTATGTGACCTTCAGGCCAGTGCACTGGGGTGTCCCTGGGACCCAGAAAATGCCTGCCTCACTTCGGGGCAGCAGAGCACAGTGGTTAGGGTCTGAGGTCACACAAACCCATCTGAACATGGCTCTGTCCCCACTCACGAGCTGTGCGTGTCTCTCCAGTCCTCCCGTCTGCCAAATGTGGGCAATAATAGCACTTGGCTCCCAAGGTGGTCAGTAAAACAGAGAAGTTGTTAGAACGCCAGTTGGCTGGGTTATGTTCACTACAGACACCTTCTCTATCTGAAAGACAATTATTTCTACCTCGTTGGTCCTTATACTACTGGCATAAGATGAGATAAAGACCCTTGAGGACGATGTCCCTGCCCAGAGCAGCCAATGCGCAGAGAGGACCATATGGCCAGCCCCACTACGAGACATGACATCCCTCACTGACCCATAGCCCTACAGGGGACAACACTGGAGACA